TTTTTTTTAATAAAAATAAAACCAAACATTTATTTCTTACAAAAATAAAAACAATATAAACGAATATTACTTATAAAAGCAAATAAAATTCCAAGTCAGTCAGATCATTCAGGCTATTGTGTTTCCAATTTTCTGCCTTTTTGTCAAGAAGGCATCTAATGTAGTTTGCGTTTTCCTTTTGCGTTCTGTTAGAAGTTGTTGATAAGTGGATAAAGCATCTATAACACCCCGTCTTGCTTTTGAACTCCTGTCAAAATTTGGATCATTTTCAACAAATTGGTCCATAATTTCAGTTATAGTGGTCAAACTCCTTTTTACAAACGCCATTGAAAGTTCTTTTTGCTCTTCTTCGAAATCACTACTATCAATATTTTTGTTTTCTTCTTGCTCAGTTAATTCCATGAGCTCATCATTAGAAAGACTAGCTGTTGTTTCTTGGACTGTTTCTTCGGATAGGTTATGTACATATTTGGAAACCTAGCGCTGCGCACAATTTTGGGGAATCCCCGTAGTGCTGCGAGCAAGTTCGAGGTTGAAATAAAAGAGCGCTAAATTGAAACAGCGTTAAGCGGGGTCTTACTGTATACTTATTTTGCATCGTTTTAGAGAAAACTGAATTTGAAGAGTATCTGGGGGTATTTAAATGTAGTTAAACTTAACCGTTTTGCTAAATTTGTATTATGTTTATTAAAACACAATCTGAACACACGTTAATCCGATCACACGCTAATCCGAACGGCCAAATCTGAACGATGACAAGAAAGAATACCTTTTTCGTATCTTTCACTTTTTAGTCCATTTGTAAACTCAATTCGCATACATACTGTATATTAATTATAAAATAAAACATTGCAAACAAAAAAAAGTAGCTATTTCTTAATAAATTCTTCTCTAAAATAATTTTATATCGAACAAATCTAATAATATCCTAGGTCAATTCAGTGATACAAAATTAATTAATTTTCTTGTTAACTGCATTCCTTTTTGTAGGGGTTTCAGAAAGAGTATTAAATTTATGTATATAGAAATAACAATCAATTAAATAATTTGAATTTCACATTTCAACTAGTGACTGAATCTGATGCAAATAAAGTAGTTGATAAACTATCGACAAATGCTAAAAATAACTAATTCATCCCATTACATCTACCATCATCAATATTACAATGGATATTTTAGATTTCTGAAATATAATTTTAAAAAGGTACAATTTGAAGATGGTCCATGGTTTCTTTTTTGAAATAACACTAGGAGTGAGGGTTTTCAAAATATCTAATGGCGTCAAATTTAAAACCTACAGAGTGGGAAAGTGTTAGCCTATCTCATAATTTTATAGATATAATATTGTTGGTCATTTATTTTTTACATTGTCCGAATAATAAAATAGATACATATATTGGACTTATTCCCCCATACTCCGCTACACCTTTTTATAATAAATAAAGACATTTCCAAAACATCTGATTTTTTAAAAGAATTTTTTAAGGAAGGAAAATTTTACTAAAATTTCCAATCCAAAGACAACTGAAATATGATCCATTCATTTCCAGACACCCTATATAACTATTTAGAGGGTGTGCATATATAATGTTTGCATATAAAAATAAATTTTTGAATTTTCAAAATAATTTGAAATTAAAATAAAAAATTACCTTTAATGACACTCCTTTTCCAAATGTTACATCACCAGACACAGTTAAATGATCCAGTTCAATGATATCTGGTACATTTGCAAATCTCCTTAAAAAGTCTTTGACTTTTGAAAAATGATTGTCACCTAATTTTACCAAGGGAGTTGTGGTAAACATTCTTTGAGGTGACATAACCAATGAACCATTTTTGAGGACATACAGATTACTCATAACAAGCAGCAGATCAGATGTTTTCTTTACTGGTAAGAATCGACTTCTAGGGACATTTATTCCTATGCTGTTATTAAAAGATTTCATTGCAGCTCCAACAGCAGTTTCCAGTTGGATGATTTTCAAACCATTATCGAATGTTTTATTATTAATAATGATCTCCATGTTCATATCTCCTTCATTAATAATCCGTTGAATAGCTAAATAAGTAAATTATTTAATTGGTCATGTTAAGTAGGTACTATTCAAAATATGTAAAACATATAACTAAATGGCAATAGCTTTTATTACTCATGGTAATACTCAACAGAAGAAATTCAGTTACTGATGAGTAACAATTTTCTTAAAAGAACATAATATGCAGAATAAAAACCCAAGTAGGTAGGTAAGTGAAAAATTATATGGTTTTTTAGAGAATGATTTCTATGTCCACATACAGAACTTTACGTTACCTATCAAAAGTTTTGAATTAAAGTCACGAAATAAAAATTTAAAATAGTGGGGCCACTTTGAGATCTTGATAAGGGTTGCACATTTCGACGCTTTAGTACGAAAACGAGCTATCTCAGATTTTGGTTGGAAAACATGCTATCTGAAATTTCGGTTGGAAAACATGCTATCTCAAATTAAGCTTGGAAAACATGCTAGCTCAGATCTTAAAAATTCCTTACTTTTTGAAAAATATATTATATAAGTTTATTATAAATGCACGGTTTCAATCCTTCCAATTTCATGCCAATTTAAATTACTAGTCAGAGATAGCATGTTTTTACTTAAAAATCTGAACTAGGATGTTTTCCAAGCTTAATTTGAGATAGCATGTTTTCCAACTGAAATTTGAGATAGTATGTTTTCCAACCGAAATATGAGATGGCATGTTTTCATACTAAAGCGTCGATTTATTTGTAAAATATTTAATTAGAAAATTAATTTTTCTTTGTAATAATATCTACCTAATTAAAATTTAATTTGACATGTGTTCCACTTTTCAAAATTCATAATGCTATTACTTTGGAAAAAAAGTGAAAATGTGAAAAACTGAAAGACAAGAAAACACCAAAGCAGTATTTTGCAAATAATGTGCAACTCTTCGATATCAGTCATAAAATTGTGACCACAAATTTTCACAAACTATTACCGACAAAAAATTCAGTTACCTATGTAACTGAATTTTTTATCTATATAAACAATTTAAAACACTTTTTTTTTAAACAATAAAAAGTGACATGGATTTGTTACCACAAATTTTCACAAACTATTACTGACAAAAAATTCAGTTACATATAGATAAACAATTTAAAACAGTTTTTTTAAACAATAAAAAGTGACATAGAAAATACAGGGTGTTGAATAACGTGTACAACGGAAGATTACAGATTCGTGGAAATATGCAGATTTAGGGTAATTCACCTATATCTGAAATCGTCTCGTTTGGCCGCTAGATGACCTCAAAGTTCGTAAAAATTTTATATACATATTAGTCGGTTTTGATTATTTTTGGGGTGTGGACCTTTGCTTTCAATCTACACATTTTGGTGTTATACAGTGTTTTTTAAAACTTACAACTCCTACAAAATTGATGTATGTTGATAATATCCATTCATAACTTTTCCTCTTTCGGGTAATAATCACAACTACTTTTTATTTGATAGGTGATACCATTTGGAAGTTTTTGCGTCTCTTGTACAATTTTGATTAAATGAGCGGTTTAGTTACAAATAAATATTTTTTAAATGTATGCATTGTCTTGCCATTGATTAATACCTAGATATTTAGTTATATACAAAATTCAAAAAAATTTCACAAACTTTGGGGCTATCTAGCGGCCAAACGAAGATATAGGTGAATTACTAAATCTGCCTATTTTGAGTCCACGAATCTATGGTCTTCCATTGTACACGTTATTCTGGGAAACTTTGTATAACAATTTTGAACTCGAAATCCTCAATGTGGTATAAAAATGTTAATTGACAATCAAAAAGAGTAAATCGTTAATGACATTGTTGTCATGTATTGTTTGGACTGTCATTTTGTAATCAAAAGAAATGGTGCTGCATTTTCGAGAGAGATATTATACTACATTTGGTTATTTATCAAGCCTAACTCCAGAGCATATCTATGATTTCCTGCAATTATGTATCTGCATATGATTTAAGTTGCTACCTTGCTAATTGAAATTATTGATATGTACATACTATCTTTCAGATAAATATGAATTTAAATAATACATAAAATGCTAAATAAAACCCCATCTAATTTAGCACATGAAAGTTCATTCAATTTGTCAAAAGTTTTGGTTATATTCGTGTAAATATAATCAATTTGTGCCAAGCCAATGCCAAATACTACGTAATATTACACACATATAAATGTGTATAATGATTTTTATTTTATTTATTTATTAAAACAATGTTATTAATAAATAAATATAATAAGAATCATTTTTAAAAGGGCTTGTTTAATTTATAATCTGTACTTAAAATGATGGAGGATGTTAAGCAAGCCATAATTCACAAATATTGTATCTGGGCAAACAAAATGAATGTTTCTCCTCTGTCAATGAGCAATAGATTTCTAGGTAAACTTGTATTTTTCCAAATTAATTTTAATGGTATCAATTTTTTTCTGTTTGAGTTTTTAAAGGTTATCCAGTGGCAGAATAACACATAAGCATTGAAAACACGTGTTTGAGGCCCCCATTCTGCAGTGGCCTCATCGCCTCTCCTGTTTTATTTTCTGTCATCCAAATCCAAGCAACAGAAGGTCTACATCGCCTCCGTGCTTGGGGCTCCTGAAACTCTTAATCCGCCACTGAAGTTATTCCTTTGCACAGTAGTTATAGTTTACGTACAATGAAGCTCCACCATATTACAGTAGATTAACAAAGCAATGATTATCAAGACACTACAGATTACTGGACTGTACTAAGAATACATGCACCAATGAGTTCACCAGAATAATCCTCAGATTTGCACCTTTTGGATTTTACTTTCAAGAATAGGTTTTTTCCACCGCAGTAGAAATCTTTGAGGACCTCAAAGAGAGATTTGATAATATTTAAAATTAAGAATTTTATTTGTGTAAAATTAACTTTTCTATAGTTCAGTTAATTAAAATTAATTGTTAAATGCAATCTAACAAGTAGAATAACTCGTCATGTTGAAATTCAAGAAAGATTTTTTATAGCATCTGAAGTTATCAAAAAATGGTAAATTTTTTTTTATAAAAACATCAGTTTTCCAAGTCTACTGTAGTGAAAGGTATAATAGAAAAACTGATTTGGTAAGAATCATTTTAACTCCCTGAATCTCAGAAACAAAAAAATGTGAAAAAAACATTAAAGTTTATATGTTATTTTGGTTTACTTAACATCCTTATGCTACTAGGTTTAGGAACGCCTTGTATAAATAAATTAATTAAAAAAACGTACCGTCAAGTTTAATCCACAAATTATTGGTATTGAAAAACTGGAATTTTTTAACAGATTTAAAATCATCTAAATGTTCATTAGGAACTTGTGCTATTTCTAGAAGTCTAAGCTTTCCTTCATACTTTATTAAGGTACCACCCTGGAATAAATGAATAATAGGTAAAAGTATTCATCAGGCAGCTATTATATATTTTTTTAGTATTTGAGAATATTTACCTTAACATCAGCCCTTGTTTTGTCTGTAACTTCCATAACAAATTCATTATCAGACTGTTCTTTTGAGTTCAATAACAAATTCAAAATGCTTAAATCTACGGTGGCTCCTAAATTATCTATGTTGGAAATGAAGCAATAATCTTTTCCAGAATTTATAAACCTATCCAAGAGTCCTGAGTTTTTGAAACTTTGATAGAAATCTCCGTGACCTGGTGGATACCACGCTTCTATTTCTTCAGCAATGATGCCAGATTTTGCGACTGGCATTAGAGAGTCACTATTTATTCTTGGATAACAGGACTGATTAAATGTATGAATTTCTACTTGTAAATTTTTATATTTTCTAATTATTTTTTCAGTATCACTATCCGTATTGAAAGAATTCATTAACACTAATGGCACATTTACTTTGTACGTTTTATTAAGATGCTGAAACAAAAAATTGATATAATAAATACATACAAAAAGAATAACCAGATAATTAAAAAATATGCTCCATTTATGTACACAGAGATTTCGACACTTGAGTTTCCAGATTTACCGAAGTGACGTTTAAAAGATACAAAGTGCGTTTAATTTTTGGCCGTTTTATGTGATGTTGAAGGCTGACATCTTTTATTCAGTTATTTTTGCATAGGATAATAGTAGTTCAGTTTTGAATTTTCAATAATGATACAAACTATTTTTTTCAATGAAATATTTTTAAAATCAGCGTAAAATTTTGTTTCAAATAAGAAATTTTATGTAGATTTCATAAATCGAAATGTAGGAAATGTAGGTTGAAAAATATATGTGCTGTGTTAATTCAAAAGCCGAAAGTTATACGAGTAGTAAAATATTACATGCGTGCAGTGGCGGCGCGTGAACATTGATTGAATGTGTTCTGCTTAGGATTGTTACATTTGTTGAATTGAATTCCAGGATATTAAGTGCCCGGAGAGCCTCTAAAAGGCGCCGCAGGTGAAAAATTTTAAAATTTTCAAGGTCACGCGTTTTCCTGGCATTTCTGAATTTCAAGGAACAATTCATTTATACAAAAATACAGATTTTCACAACGATTTTTGAAATATCTATTCACGAATTACCTACTGACGGTATAAATAAATTGGAATAAACTAAATACATTTTATTAAATTATTGAATATTGTTTAAAAACAAAAAAATCGTTTGTGAAGTTTACCAACGATTCAACGAATTTTAATTTTCCTCGCCGTGTTATGATTTTTTCTTTACCTTTTTTTATATATACGTACATATATTCCGGGAGTTATACGTGCAAATCCGAAATACGGGACCATACAGCTAATTCCCGGTACAACCACAGAAAATCCCGGTCATACCCATGTGGCTAGATGTTCTTTTAATATGTCGTCAAGATCTGCACTAAATTTATGAGTCCACGAAACACATCAGGGTTGTCCGAATTTTCTGTCTCATCATGTCCGCGAAGTTCTAATTCGAAAGCTCCGCAAAATTTTTTGCAGTCTATGATATTAGATAATACATAACAATTTTTCGTTACCTGTTCATTGTGTTTCCGTATATTATCCCAATATGCAGAATCTAACTGACTTATGTTTATTTTACCTAATGACTTAAATGACTTAAATCTTTCACACTGTATATTGTCCATGCTTTATCCCCACCGAAAAGTAAGCACGGAAAACAAAACAGTGTATTTTTTATATCACACCCGCACACCTACTCTGCTTTTGTGTATACATTATTGTTAAATTGTCCTACGAGACTTACAATACACAAACGCTACACAGACAATAAGACAAAACGCGGAGAAACGGTTTGACGTAGCCGCTAGACATGACAATCCCCTCCCCAGGCAAGCCGTTGACTACGTACCCGACGTGACCGACAAACACAAAAGACCTAGACACCAACTTTTTGACCCTGGGTGACCACCCCAACGACCCCCCCTGCCAGCTAACCTTTTCTTTTTCAGAGACAGCCAGGATCAAGAAACGAAGACAACACACACACATACACACCCCCATACCCTCCTTACCGGTCCCCTCCCGCGCTGCGCTAAGGGCCACCTTAGCAAAGCGCATCCCAGGCTGCATAGCCGCACTACCCTACCCAACCATACCACACATAAACATGACACTACCCCCGGGGTTTACACAGACGAGCCGGCGAAGCAAGAATAGCGCCAAAAGAAAGGGCCCTAGCCGGCGGGGCCCAGCCAGGACAAAAGGAGGTCCCACAAAGCGCCTACACCGGCCGCATTTGCGGTCGGGGTAGACGACGGATGGGGCCCACCTACGAAGGCTGTCCAGGCCTACACGAGATGAGGCAGGATAAAGAGGGATAATCCCCCTCGATCCCAAATCATTGAGGCCAATTTCTAGCCATGGAATAATGGCGCGTGTTAAATTGTCTTTTATAACTTACTTCGGTTTGTTCCACTAACTTCAATATTTAATTGCGGTGTTGGCCCACCTAATTCTTTTATTTTTAGTTTATCCTCATAACGCAGAGAACCAAATAAAGTTTTTTGTAAAAACGAAACACTATTCATTTTAATAACTGTAATATCCGTAGACGCCTAAACGAAAATATTCACACGTGCCGCTCGCAGAAATAAACCACCACATACCACGTACGAAATATTACTGCATTTTGCATTTACTGCAGCAGTGGCTGTCGTTGTTTGCAGCCACAAAAGCCCATATAAAAGTGACGTGGGTCACGACGTCACGAGCCTGATTAGCCAATAAAAACAAAGGACCCATCTAACTGTTCGCTGTGCACACATTTTGTATATGAAGTTGCATATATTAAGGAGCGTAGCCGCGTCGTAATAAATAATAATATAAGCTCCTAGATTTATTTTAGCGCGAGTACATTTGGATTCTTTAAATATTTTGTTGATATTTAATATGATTAATACATAAAATTTTATGTGTTCTGCAGCTCCGCAGCTCTTATGGTAAAACCGCCACTGTGCGTATGCCATTGAATTCTACAATAAAACTGGTTAAGAAATCACTTTAAAAAATCAAATATTTTCAAAAATATAGAAATTATTCGATTTAACAAAAAAGTGATCAAAAATGAATCACGTATAAAGCCTGTATCAGACAATGCAATTTTGTTGCAGGGATTTGGTTGCCGCTATAGAATCCATGAAATGTTTCTTATCATACTATGCAATTCTGTCTCGGCAACTGAATTGCATGAATTAGAACATGCTCTACTATTCCATGCAATTTTGTTGCTAGTTACTTTTATGATTTGTTTATTACCAACCTAGTTGTTATTGGCTATTGATCATGGTTGTTGTTAGTAACGCGGTTGAAGCCACTATTAAAGCTATAACAGCAATTTATTTTTAAATTTTCATCCATTTTGCTTGAATAAAAAATAATTGTTTACAAGATACATACAAGAAATTTTACTGTTAAATAATGCACTGTTGGTAACACTACTGCAAACTAAACAAATTGCAGCAATTCTGTCCCATTTGTGTGATAATAAGCATGCAATTTTATCCCCGCAATTTTGTCGTTGCAACTAAATTGCATTGTCTGATACAGGCTTAATGTACATATCTTTAATGAATAAATATCGAGGTTATGTACACTGTTCAATATTTCTTGAAAATTGGGTAAGAGAAATGTTAACTTCCCGACTTTCTCTTTGCGAAATATGAAAAACCCCACAAAAGTGTTGAAATTGATCTAAATGTACGCATACATAGCAACGTTTTTTATTAACAAACTATACAGGGTGGTATGTCGGAAATTTTGTAACAAATTTTTAGTTCGTCAGTCAAGAACAAAAAAATAAAGTTTCAAATATACTGTACCAAATTTACTTTATTTAGCACAATTCAATACACAAGAGTTTATAAACTTTGACAATTCATACATATTAACAAATATACCGAGTTAAACCTTTACAAAACTCCGCACTAGCGCGCCTGTTTAAATATTTTTCGTTGTTTGTGTATAAACATGGCACACTAGGGTCAATTTCTTTATAGCACCAACTTTATAATGGAGAAAATGCATTAGGTGGTTGCGGTCCCGTCGCATCGCGGAGCGTGCTAGTCTTGATCGAGCGCAGTGGTGTTCCTTCCAATGTTTTATAATGTATGCATTCGCACTAGACGTTCCCGAACTCGTCTCGCTCGCATCGCGTTCTCCTCCGATCTTTTCCAAAGAATCTCGGGAGACCGCGATACGATCCAGACCAGCTTTCTCTTGCATATAACTCATTTTCTTAACTACTAAAACAATACCGCAACTATTTAAAGGAGAGCGCAAGCAGGATTGTGTGCAATTGCCAAATGCGACTGATTTTGTAAAAGACCGCGATCACTTCAGCCCAGAACGGACTGCGACCGCCTAATGCGTTCTCTGCTTAAGGGTACAAGTAGTAGGTTGACAAGTCTACAGACATTGATGAGATTAGCGATATGATGAGAGGACAAAAAATTAATTAAATGACAATTTTTTACAATTGCAAATATGTATTCAGGCAGCAAGGAAGGAATTAAAGGAAGATGCAAATAAATCTTGTATTTAAGTCTCATTAAAGTATAATAAAAATCAGTATGTTTATAGAACGAGACAAAAAAAAAGATCCAATATTATCTTTCTCATATCAGTATGACACTGACTGCGCTACCGTTTTTTTTACATCAGACGAAAAAGTGCTTAGGTTTTGAAATATTATATCGACGTTTCGCATTGTATTAGCTATGTCCTGTCCAAATTTGGACAGTTCTTCGAAAATACAATGTCTACATATGTTTTCAGCCACGAAAATTGAATAATTCTAAATATTTAGAATTTTCACCACCAAAAATGGCGGTGACAACATTTTTAACATTAAGGCGATGTTTCGCATTGTATTAGCTATGTCCTATCCAAATTTGGTTAGTGCAACTCTCTCGGTTTCGAAAATACGATACCTATGTATGTTTTCTACCACGAAAATTGAATTCCAAGTATTTAGAATTTTCACCACCAAGAACGGCGGTGACAACACTTTAAACATTAAGGCGATGTTTCGCATTGTATTAGCTATGTCCTGTCCAAAATTGGTTAGTGCAACTCTCTCGGTTTCGAAAATACAATACCTATGTATGTTTTCAGCCACGAAAATTGAATAATTCCAAATATTTAGAATTTTCACCACCAAGAACGGCGGTGACAACATTTTTAACATTAAGGCGATGTTTCGCATTGTATTAGCTATGTCCTGTCCAAAATTGGTTAGTGCAACTCTCTCGGTTTCGAAAATACAATACCTATGTATGTTTTCAGCCACGAAAATTGAATAATTCCAAATATTTAGAATTTTCACCACCAAGAACGGCGGTGACAACATTTTTAACATTAAGGCGATGTTTCGCATTGTATTAACCATGTCCTGTTCAAACTTGTAATTTTTTATTAAAGGCCTCCATAGAGCTTGCAGGCCCTGGGCCCATCCCAAACAAAAATAATAGCTACGCCCATGAAATTTTTTTCTGATCTTGGAGTGCATCAATTTTTTTCGAATTTTCTAAAAATGGTAAAAATTGACTAGCAGTTGTAGAAATTTGGTTTTCGGTGTCGGAGATTCCGAATCTGACCCTGAAAAATATGCCCGACGGCCCTGGGGCTCCCAGGGGGGCAAGGGGGGAGCCTTCTGTAAAACATCGAATAGCTGAAATTGCCTTCTAAATTTCCACTCGGGGGTTTTTGGGGTCGGAGATTTCGATTCTGACACTGAAAAGTATACCCGACGCCCCTGGGCCCCTGCAAAAGGGGCAAGGAGGGCTTCTGTAAAACACCGAATAGCTTAGTAATTGCCTTCTAAACTTCCACTTGGGGGTTTTTGGGGTCGGGGATTTCAATTCCCCGATTCAGCTATTCGATGTTTTACAGAAGGCCCCCCATGCCCCCCTGGGGGCCCCAGGGACGTCGGACATACGTTTCAGTGTCAAAATCGAAATCGCCGACCCCAAAAACCTCCGAGTGGGGATTTAGAAGGCAATTACTCAGCTATTCGATGTTTTACAGAAGGCTCCCCGCTTGCCCCCCTGGGGGGGGCCAGGGCCGTTGGGCATATTTTTCAGGGTCAGATTCGGAATCTCCGACCCCGAAAACCCGTGCACAGGAATTTCTACAATTTTTAGTCAATTTTTACCATTTTTAGAAAATTCGGAAAAATTGATGCACTCCAAGATGCACTTTATGCACCCGCAATGCAGTTTCGATCCAGCCCCAAAGTGTAATATATAGACTTTTTCCTGATATTTTTCCGAAGACAATACCGAAAACCGCAACTCAATCGGTTCATCAGAAAAAAATTTCCGTATTCTGGGTGATTTTGGTCTAACTTGCCTGGACTACTAGCCAGAGTTAATCACACAGGTATCGAATCATTTGAAAACACTGAATCAAACTGATTTGTTTTTTCGAACAAATCAGTTTGATCCATCAAATTGGTTCGTTCTTTTCGAACGAATCGTTCGTGAACGACACATCCCTACTAATTACGATGTTATACTAACCATTTCACTGAAATGGTTAGTAGGTATAGCGGAAATGCTGACGTATAAGAAATGCTAATTTCCATTTAACTTGAGGGCAAGATAAAATAAATGTTTTGTTATTCCTCTGCAAAATCAGGGGTATCGAATTCGACTTTCTGGAGTGCACAATTTGCTTAATAGAAACATTAAACAATTCACCTGTTTACTTGCTTCTCTACTGGCCTCATGTAAACCGTTCTTAAGGACTGACTAGTCTCTTGCTTGTGGGTTAAATCAATAACTTGAGTTTTGAAAGCACAAACCCTAAACCTGACCAGCAACAATAAGTACGAATAATTTCTGTTTTGCTTGTAGATAAGGCAGTTAGTTTCATGTAAACTGGCCATTTGGGCAAGGTGGAGGGAGATTCAAAGAATTTCTTCACACCTGCATGCTTTTTTCTTCGAATCAACGTTTAGACGCACCAAAAATTGTCTCAACCGACTGGGATGACTTCAACGTCATTCAGCGTAAAATTTAATTATCCTCAAGATTAGGAGCGTTTTATGAAAAATGGATTGTTTTGGAAATAAGCCAGAAAATGTGATTTTAAGGAGTTGTTCATATTTATCTTAGTAAGGAAGTCATTGTGACATAATGTTAATAGAAACTTTTGTGTCAGTGTCTCACCCTGTATATTGAAAAAGTTTTCTTTCACAACTTTCGTTGTTGTGATTTCGTCTTGAATCAATTTTATCTTGAGAAGTCATGATTACAGAGTGTATATTTTTGGATACACTAAATAACAAATTGCCTACCTCTATTTGTTGAACAGTAAGATCGAGGAAAGTCAGATTATTTCTCACAGAAATGACAGACTTAGGTCCATGGCATCCCATGGAGGTTCCCAGACCACCATTTAATTTTACTACTACTAATTTATTAAGCATGTGATGTACAGTATCTGCCGTTGGCGATTCTAGACTATTATAATCCTTAATCGCACCTGGTGGTAATTTTTCTATTTTATCCCAACTAACAGAAGGCCCTGTCTCATCCAAGAATCGCTTAAATAACTTGCTGAAGTCATCAAATTCTTTCCTGGCTTGTTCTGATCTATGTGGTTCTGATTTGTCGCTAAGCTGATCTAGCTCCCGTTGAAGGTGCATCATTGCATCTCGTTTTGTGGCCTGAATGAATTCCTTGGAATCACTAGGATTCCTACTGTGGCCTTTAACCTAAAAAAAAACACAATCTGAAGTATATTTTGTATTATCAAAAATTTTGAAGTAATTGAAATATGTAATTATAGGTCTTACTCACTAACATCTAGTAGTGTAGAATAGTCAACCATTTTGATGTATTATCGTCGAATTTATAATTTTGATATATGTACTAACAAGAGGCACATATTAATTTTTTTGTGTTATGTTGATGTCAATATGTTCATAGTTTAAATTTACGTCAAATACTGAAATACGAGTTTGACGTAGTCAATAAGTCGATTGAAATATGGTATAAATCTAGAGTGGACTAAAATTTTACGTGAACTAACAATCAGGTGTAACACGAAATGGTCGATTTTTCTTCACCTTTAAAAAACATACATGAAAAAATTATATTAACATTTTAATTTCGAAGATGATTTTACTGCAAATAATGTTCTTAAATAAGGTGAAATAAGATTATATTTAGGAGAAGAGGCATTCATTAGTTTATATTCCTTAATTTTCATTTAAAACACATGTCAAACATATAATAACAAACATTTTATTATTTTTTCTCTTTTTTTTTAATTGGCTAGAGATACCTACAGCTCGTTATAGATCATAAATGCCAATCTTCTGTGTTTCAGGAACATTTATTTATACAGGCTGTTTCAAAAATACTTGAGGAAAATGAAACTGTGGATTCTTCAGCCGATTTTAGAGGGGGCGCTTCAAGTAATTTTTTTTTAAAGCGGTTGTTGAAATCTGTTTCCATGGCATTTTTCAAAGTCGGCTCACATTAAACTCTAATTTTTGCATGGAGAAACTAAAATGAAGGGTGATTCACTAACGGTGACCAAAAAATGAAACCTCGTATCTTTGGTGAATTTTAAGGGGAATCTTTCCTATAAAGTTTTTATCTAGGACGCTTTGTTAAAAAGATACAGGGTGTTAAACTTTAAAATATTTTTATTTTTTTTTAATAATTTAAAAACCACCACGTGAAATAATTTGAAATTGGGTACATGTATTTAGGTCCAAAATGTGAAACCTTTTTCTAAAATTTATATGCTTCAGTGGCGGAGATACAGGGAATCGGTGGCATATTTTTTTTAAATAACTCTACTGCTTTACGGTAACAGTCATGATATTTTCGGATTCGTCTTTCAATTTGCTACAAGTTACTATCAACTCTAATGTTTTTTGAAAAAACACCTGATTTTCGAGTATAACTTAAAAAACAAATTGAAAACACCAGACTTCAACCCACTGGATTTCCTTTTGTGGGGTGCTGTTAAACGGCTGGTATACAGTGAAGAAATTAATACACTTGAGCAGTTAGGAGAAAGAATAAATAATACTTTTCATCAAATTCAAGCAACAATAAATTTGGAATAAATTACATTTTCGTTACTAAAAATATGTCGCGCCTGTGTTCGTGGAAATGGAGGTATTTTTGAGTATTTACTCAAATAAAAGCGATTATATAACCGAATGATTAGTGTTCTTCATGTCATTTAAGTAAAAGTGTTTTCAGTTCGTTTTTTAAGTTTTACTCGAAAATCAGACCTTTTTCGCAAAACATAAGAGAGAAGTAATTTGTAGAAAATTGAAAGACGAATAGGAAAATATCATGATTGTTAACGTAAAGCAGTGGCGTACTATTTTATTTAGAAAAATATGCCACCGATACCCTGTATTTCTGTCACTGGAGCATCTAAATTTTAGAAAAAGGCCTTAGATTTTAAACAATATTTACATTCATTGTTTCATTTTCCTCAACTATTTCCAAAACACATGTACGAACTTGACAGCATTTTTATATGTTCATTTTAGTATAATTTGTTACCTGATAATATATTTTTTAATTTTACACAAAAATTGTGTTTGAAAGGTCTTAACACCTCAACTCATTTAGAGTCATTGTCAACAGGTCTTCTTTAAACTACTAAATCTTTGTGAGGAGGCGGAATTAAGCCTTAGTTCATTTAAAATTGTTGTATTGTTTTGGTCAAAAAACATCCTGTAGAAATATGGCAGTCGAGATAAGGAATACTCTGTATACCAGTGGAAACAATAGCATTTCCTACTTGAAATAAAATACTTTTTTCCAAAGAATACCTAATATTATTTTATCAACATGGCATTTTAAAAACCGAAGGCGTTTTTCGTCTGGTCTTTTATAGAATGAAATATATAAATATTGCGTATTAAACAATCCAACATCAAATAGAACGTATGTTTCAACTTTTAACCTCGTTAATCGATAACAATAAAAATTATCTTCACCGTACAAAAATAACAAACTATGTGCATAACAATGTCTGTACTTTAATATTCACAGGAGTAAAATTTGATTTTTAAGTAAAAATACATACCGTTTCAAGAATGTTGATCATATTCAAATTCACTGATTGACTACTGAGACCACAATAAAATAAATTAGCTATGATGAAAATATATTTTAATTATATTATTTTGTCATTGTGTACCTACACTAAAACAATATAGTCAAAGTAATAAACCTATAGTTTTGCACACAATTTTAAAACACACCGATACATGCATATTCCTGTTTCAAGGTTGCATTACATTTGTATTTGGCTAAACAATTTGGAAAAACATCGCGTAAAAGCGCAAAAATCCATTTTATCTGCCCTCTTTATTTTGTTTTAATTATAAAACCATAGTCCCTACCCAATGAAAGAATTTTCTACTACACTGTAAAAGAAAATAGAAATTTGATCCAGCTACTTTCAGATATGTATATGAAACCAAATTAATGAAAAGGTCAGTGATATAATATGTATATACCTTAATATTTATTTTTATTTTCTATTTAGTGGCATGTTAATTATTAAATCTGTCTTTTTATAGGTACTTACTAGTTGTTAGTTTTTGTTTTCTGTTTTCATTAAATTATAAATAAAACGAAGTAATTTTTAAAGGAAATCACGTATTTGAAAATACTAAATTAACTTATCCACATTTTCATTCTCATTTATAGACAGGGAGGTAGTGACAGATTTTCGGTTGTAATTTTAGTCAGTAAGCCTTTCAGAAGACATAAAGGGAATATTGTCATGAAGAAAAGGGAGTATTCAGTACGGAAAAGTGAGTCTTCGTTTTGCTACTATTTTAATGAGACTCTCATGTTCTTTATATTAAAATTCAAAATTAAAAATCCTTCGTAAAACCATAGGCACGGCGCTAGCTAAATCTAAAGAGCTGTTATGGCCACGTGAACTTGAAATTTATTAAAAGTTTTTGTTATAAAACTGCATATGACCAAATCTAGCGTATATGGAAAAATCGTATAAAATTATGGAATTATGTTGCTTGATTTTAGTCAGTAAAAAGATATTGAAACATAAAGTCTATTTAGTCATACGCAAAAAATTTGAACAAATACTTTTCATTGGTCGCCTGTTCCAAAATGTGGAAAAATTCCTTATTTTATTGCAAGTTGATGTGGCCGTAAAAATCCTTTGGGGCCCAAGCTAACGATATGCCTATAGTTTTTCGGTATATATTTTTTTATTTTGAAGTTCATTTTAAAGCATATTTAGTCTCACTAAATTCTTGGCAAAACGATTAGTAGACATTATGTTTTTAATACGGGTATGAAGAACACAGGAAGATTCTCAGAATACCCTCTTTCTTCATGCGAATTATCTTTTGAAAGTCATACTGAATGACAATAAAAAATCGGTCACTACTTACCGGGCTATGTAACTAAGTTTTGACATAATCTATTTGACAACAAAATTTCGTTTATTATACAGCTACATCATGACAAAGGTAAAAGCACAGTAATGAAACGATTTAAATATTACAGTTCACTTTATAATTCTAATTTATTATGATGATTAACGCAAAATTCCATTGTTAGTACTGAAGAAGCATAATAAAATCATATTTTCATTGTAAGAAAATAATTATCTACATACCGGGTGTCCCAGAATATGTGGGCAAACTCTCAGATTTATACAGGGAACGTTAAAATGTCATGACAAGTTCCTATAAAAATTTTCCCCTCTACGGAGATACAGGCCCCTAACAGACGCCCATGAAAATCGATTTTTGTAGAACCAGGGAATGCATAACATTAGAAGGAGCTCATGTTGAACCGACAGCTAGTCCGTCCCTGGTAAACAAAATAAGCCAAATTTTTAATTTTTAAAGAGTTATCTGTTATCCATCACATTAAAAAATAATTAAATTACACAAAGGTTTTTAGAAGTTATTAAAAAAATCGATTTTCAGGAGTGTCTTTTAGGGATCTGTATCTCCGTATAGAGAAAATTTGTATACGAACTTGTCTTGTTATTTTAACGTCCCCTGTATAAATTCGAGAAATTGCCCACATATTCTGGGACACCCGGTATAATGAAAGCGTAAAAAGGTAATACGAATGTACTGCCATGCCGGTAAGATACGATAGACAGACGGACATACAGGCAAACAAACAAAAACAAATTAACAATTATCTTCCATCATTCGATAAAAGGATAGAACTTTTTTAAACATTATTCACTTCATTATCCCATTGTATAAAAATCCAAGAATTAATAATATAAAAATAAGAATATTTACCTTCTCCTTCTCTTCCTATTTAATTACTACTGTCAGAAAAGTTGAATATTTCAATAGTTTTAAACAAACATCCCCTTGCACAAAAATTTTCAACAAATTGCACAAACTCTGTAGATATTGGATAATGGCACTTTACAAAGTTTTATCAATACATTAATCAATTAAAGTTGTCTGGTGATATTCTAGCAATTATTTACGATAATTTGTAACGACTATACAGGGTGTTTGAGTTCGAGTGAATCAAACTTTAATCACAAATAGAACTCAATAAATGAGGGGGGGGGGGGTATAGATGCAAAACTCACATTATCCATAATTTTTCGAAATAGAGTTAGTGGCGCTATCTCGTTCATCGTGTTGAACTACACCATTTTAAAATTTAGAAGTGGTACAAACTCACATTTTCGTATTTATTTTTAAATTGTGAAATCTGTGAATTGTTTCCAAAGTCACATTCTCCTACGATCTGAAGTTGTCAAAACTCACATTATCCATATATCCACCAATGAAAAAGCTTAAAGCGATAAACCAATATGGCCGAGTACCTAAGGAGAATGTGTTTTGCTTCTCTATGTAGATGGTTGATTCCGTGTTTTTCTATGAGTTTCTAATTATATGTAAGATAAGTTTAGTTCCGAAGTTTCATATTTAAATTATCGGATATTAGAACTTTTTACTGTCAACATTTTTTGTACTTTGCAATTTTAGATTCATTATAAAAATATTTCACTTCATCATTGATAATAAAACCGTATTCTAAATATTTTGTGCAGCTTTTTATTTTGATTATGAACTACCATATTACACAAAAGTTTTATTGATATTGAGTTTGTTTACATGTGTACCACACCAAATTTGAATCAATTTGTTATAAGCATACCAAAGATTTCATAAATAATATGATTTTAAAAACCCACCAATACAGTGGTGTATAGTGAAAACGGTGAGACTTAGACCCTTGCCTTATAAGACAATTCTGAATTAATTATTGAGTTCTATTTGTGGTTAAGATTTAATTCACTCGAACTGAAACACCCTGTATAGTACAGTAACACAGTAAAAGCAACCTATGTATGTGCAAGTTATTGTAAATATGGTGTTTACTGCTCATTTCAACTTACCGAAGGTGAAGGTACATGTTAAAGAAGAAGCAAACATTTGCGAACATATTACAGAAAAATGACAAAAAATGCGTAAATACTATAAAAAAAAAATAATTTTTAAAATAATGTAGCACAGATGAAAAATAATGCATATTTACCACATCCAGTAAAGATGACATGTTTAGAAATGTATATAAACACAACTCGCACGAACTCAATCTATTCCACGGAATTTAATTCAGACATATTAATATAAATTACAATTTATTATCAGTATTCTCGTCACAGATTAGAGTCATCTGTATCTTAGTCTAGTAGTTATTTTCAATTACTTTGAAAATACTTAGTAATGTTAGCGTGCGCAAAATTGCGAACCTTCCGTGTCTATGCAAGTCATTGTAAATATACTAATTGACGTCTAATTGCAACATATTTTACGTGCCTGTATAAACTATATGATAATAATGATAGCTTGGATATAAAAACAAGTAATTAGTTGCGATAAATTCGGTAAAATATATCATGAATTAAAAAAAAATCATATAGATGATATCCCCCAATTTACTAAAGCTACATAATTGGAACCGTCATGTGCGATATTTTATTTTTCAGTTTATTGACGATATACTTTACGAATAACATTAAAGTGCATTTAGTGCCTTTAAAATACGTAAGCAACGTTAAAATCATGGATTCTTTAGATAAAAATAAGTTAATTTAGACCAACTTACCTACTGAGGCATAGCCTTTAGCTTTATTTGAGTAGGTGTTGACTTTTGTATATAGCGTGTCTGGTTTTTACACATACAGAAAAGCATGTTAGGGATTATTTAATAAAAAAAAAACAAAATAGAAGCTTGTTTTCCGAGAAAAAATTTTTATGAATATTTTAATCTGTTTGGTTTATGCTTGCAACGGATACAGATTACATATTACAAAATGTGTTTATGATTAAAGGAGTTTTTGGGGTTACTGATTCCGAATTCGGTATCCTTTTAACTCTAGCGCGTCAGTGTCAAGGCCATTTCAATGTCAAATCGAAAAATCCTCGTTGTGAAGAGGTTATTTTTGTAATACCGATTTGTATTGGACGAATAACAAAAACAAAAATAGAAAATCGCCTAATTGATAGACAGTGATAAGAGCGTGACATAATTTAATATATTTACCTACATCTGATAAAGAAAAAGAAACCAAGGAAGCAAGTACCAGCAATTTTATGTAAAGAATGAAAGTAGATGATAGTTTAGAAAAAAATTTTAAATTTTAAGGAAAAAATGTTAGGAGTCAGAGAAAGACGATAGTGAGAATGAAAGTATATCGTTGACTGTTCAAGTAATACTAGTGACGACGACTACATTCCTTATATTGAAAAGAATATATCAGTAACAATATCCCAAGAAAAAGTAAATGATCTCGTTCGAGATTTGGGTTTACCAAAAGACGGCTCGGAATTGCCTGTACCATGGCTAAAAAAATACTAAGCAGGCTGGGAAAGTAAAATCTTATTACTGTGACAGAGATAAGGAATTTCGAAAATATTTCTCTTCCGAAAAGAAATTCTCCTCGGTCTATGTTACGATATTACTGGTTTAACGAATCACATGAAAAACGGATGTTGTAAATCTGAAGAGTGGAGGCTATATTTATTGATTCATCAAAAAGAAATTTAAAAGCTGTTCTACTGCATAATACAAATGTTTATGCAGCTACCCCTATAGTACATTCGGTATTAATAAAGCAAGATTACTGTAACATGAGAGAACTACTAGAGAATAAAATATGAAGAACATAAACAGCAAATCTGTGGGGATCTCAAAATAGTCACAATCATACTTGGCAAACAATCAGGATTTATAAAAACCCATTGCTTGTTATGTGTATGGGAGATCGAGTAAAACATTATGTAAGGGCCGTCTGGCCACCTGGAATAGCTTTCAAACCTGGATCTAAAATATAATAAAGAGCCCTTAGTTAGACCATCAAAAGTCCTTCTTCCGTTACTTCATATAAAATTGGGTCTTATGAAGCAATGGATGAAGGCTCTAAATAATAGATTAAATATCTGGGAGAGTAGTTTCTTCAATTGAGTGAAGCGAAATTGAAAGAAGGAAGTTTGTATGGACCTCAAATCCGTAAGATGTTGAGACGTTGAGAGATCCCGTTGTTGTTACAAAAATGAATGAAAACGAGAAAGCAACTTGGTTTTGTTTCAAGGATATCATCGAAAATTTTGTAAGAACTAACAAGAGTCCAAACTATAAAGAAGTAGTGTTAAATTTGGTAGAAAGTTTTACAAACCTAGATTGTTTAATAAATCTTAAATTACATTTTTTACATTCTTATGTGGACTATTTTCCCGACAATTTGGGTGATTACAGTAAGGAACAGGGACAAAGATTTCATCAATAAATTAAGGAAATGGAGCGTAGATACCAAGGTAGATGGGATATAATAGACGGCCAATTCTGCTGGCCGTCTATTATAAAAAAGAGAAAAGAGGAATCCAATCCGCACATCTTTTGACAATAAAATTGTTCGACATCATAAAGGTGAGGTAGATTTGTAATGACGAGTAAGCCAGAAAACAGAAAACGTATAAAGATGGTCTCTTTCTACGTTCAAGCGTTTTTTCTCGCTTTGACCTTGAAATGGCTTTAAAATTGACGTGATAGAATGAAAAAGTTATCGGATTCGAAATAAGTTACCCCAAAAACTTTTTTAATCATAAACACATTTCGTAATAGGTTTCGACAATATTTCTTATTTTTCAATATTTTAAAATATTTCATATTTGGTTCTCCGTATTGGATCCACCATATTGAATTTTGAAAATCTAATACTGGATTCGGAATCAGCTACCCCAAGAACCCCTTTAACCACATACATAATTTTTAATGTCTCTGTTTTCGTTGCAAGCACAATACAAATAAATAGATTAAAATGTTCATGATTTTTTTTTTCGGAAAATATGCTTCTAATCGAAAAACTACTAAAGATACTTTTTACTTAAAATTTCATGTGCAATTCGACATTATTTTTTATTTTTCAATATTTTAATATATTTAATACTCGGTCCGCCATCTTGAATTTTGAAAATATAACGTTGAAGTTAGAATCAGCGACCTCTAAAACGTATAAAAATTGTCAAATTCTCTGACCTGATCGGGTTAAATGGACTCCAGATTCGAATCCAGTGACCACAAAAACATGTGGTCAAGATAGTCTGGCCTTTCAGACCAGGTATTTTTTTTGTGGCGCTGTGTATTGGTATTTAACTTTTTTGCTGCATGTTAGTAGCTCCTATATTTCACTTTTTTACTGCACAAAACAATAGTTAAATAAATTCTTTGTTACTCCAACCAATTGTTTTAGATTTCATGGAGCGTAGACGCACAGAACAAAATTGTATTTTGCATTTTTTTTTTCATCAGCATGTAGAATACAACTTGTAATAATTGTATCCAACTATTTTGGAGGTATTGGAATCATTCTGCGATGTTATTTTTTCAATAAAAAATCCCGAACACGTTTTTTTTTAAATTCATACATAACAGGCCATGCAATAGTTGCCAACTTTTCAGGGTCTCCTCACCCACAAAAAATAGTTCCACTAGATTCCCCCGTCTAGTTGTATTTAAGCGGGTGTAAACATGAAAAACCAGACACAGTATGGGTAAGTTGGTTTAAATCGATTGAATCTCGAGTCTACGTTGTCCATATATTTTTAAAAAGTCAGTACGTATCTGTATAAGTTCCTGAAAACTAAGGATAAGCACATAAAGTAGTGACTAGTAGTAGTAGTAGTAAATTGAAAATCACTAGCGAAGATCTGCCTGACATGCACCTATTTGACTTTTTTGACTATTCATTTTTTTTAATAATTGTAGTAAATTTTCTGTAATTAAAAATGTTTGGAATGAATATAAACATAGGCAACGCTGACAAAATCAGTAGATTTGATTGTTGTGTTCAATTTGCGTATATGTTCAACTTCTTGTACATGTTGAAAAGAGATATCGAAATATTTATTTGATAAAAGTAGCTATATAGGCAGTTGAGAAAAAAGAGGACGTCACATGGCGTTAAAAAGGTATTTATGAAATTGGAAAAATTAATTTCGATATCCGTTAGGGTGGTAAATTTACCGATATGGAATTTTACGCCATAAAGATCCCCGCTAGGGATTTCCTATTTATTCTTTTCGTTTTGCTTTCACTGGTGCCAACCATCAGTTCTACGTCGTCCTGTACATACAATGCAGAAAACCCAACCTCAAAAAATTTATTTTCCAAAATGTCGCCGGGAGAAACCTAGTTAGCGACCCTAATAATAGCAGTTTTATAAAACTGATAGTCGAAAACTAAAAGCATGACGAATTTACCATTCCCAAAAACTTTTTCGTACCAAATTTCAATGTACCTATACTCCACGGTCGAAATTGTAGAGAGTGACTAAGACATAATATAAAAACACTATTACCATAATGCGTATAAAATATAAAATAATTTTTATACGGTTCAATATTATTTATCTTTGTGCCGCTCGCTACGCACATCGATAGAATCTATAATCGTCTAGAGACCGAGTTNTAGTAACTACAATTCAGATATTCACCAATATTCAGTCGCGAAAAAAGCCTATAGTTTCAGTGTTATTTTTTTAATACATGTAACTGAAAAAATTGACGCTAAACAAAAATATCGCTTGCGCTATTGGAACCTACGTAGAAAAAACTGAATTCTTTATAACTGAAACTATAAAATAAAAAATTTTTGTATATAAAAATAATATTCGACATCAAAAAAACTACCAAAAATGAAAACCACCCATCTAAACCAATCTTGATGCGGTTTTCACTGTTCAACTTTCTAGCCCTCCGAAAGTGTCGAAATTGGCCCCCCTTATTGTATTACTAAGTGGTTGTGCTGTGTTGTCAATAAAATTGGATATATGATTCTCACAGTCATTAAAATCTAACAAAGCAGTTAGATCAGTCATTATCATTAACAGCAAACATGTGCAACCAGCGAATATGTTTATTATTTGTTTTAAATCTGCGGTCGGTAAAGTAAATTACAGGAAACGCCAACATACAGGGTCGGTTTTACTACTAGACAAATCGAATATAAGAAAGCGTCATATTATTTTATACCATAATGTTTTATTACATATTTACAACCTGGGGTACTATATCTCATAAAAGCAGCAATACCTATCAATTTAAAAATAAAAATACTTTATTAACAACATTTCAATTTATAATTTTTTTTTTCTAAAATTATGTAGGTACGTAACTTAAATTCTAAACTA